CAAACTGAGTGAAATGAAAGGTGCACTTTTCCTAAAATGAGGAAACCTCAACACGCCACGAAAGGGCCAATTTTGTGAAAGGCTAACTGCCACTAAATATAAATTGTAATGAATAAATAAAAACGCCCCTATAACACCGAAGGGGTGGCATCTATGCCTTCCAAATTTCTGTCAACTTAAATTTTAAATTTAAATTTCAAAGCACTATTATCGGAAGACAGCTATCCCTCCCCCCACCCCCCTCGTTTGAGTATATATTTGAAAAGCAAACCCTTCAAGATCTGTTCTCAACTGACACCTGCTTTTTTCGTTTCTCAGATTTCAGTTCCATGAATGGTGAAGGAAGAGGAAACCTTGTCTCTCAAGGTCACCTCCACTGCCCAATGCACGGTGGTTGATATCTTCCTATTATTATTCTCTCTGAGAAACTTGTCTTCTTTGAATCTTAATCCTAAGGGACGGTAGGATGAATCAAACCTAATGACCCTGGGTTTTCCTATGAGTTCCCCAGCGGCTAGAGGAACCCTCACATCATTAGTAGCAAGTCAGTGGACCACTGAAAGGAGGGTGGAAGGATGAATCTTTTCCCTGTCCCTTCACCCCAACGCCAGAAATCCTATTAATCCTCACAGTTACAAGAAGAGGTGAATATCCCTCCAGTCCTCTAAGAAAGAGGGCAGGGAACAATTCCTCACTCACATCTCTACCAACCCAAGGGCTTTTGTACTCAGAAAAGAAATAAGGAACTGTTTTCATTAGTTCCTCACCGATCTCAGAACTCTCCTTCTCATCTCTTGGAGGCATTATCTCAAATGAACATTAGGGAAAGTCATACGTACGATGTGGCAAAAGGCAAATGTAATGATGAAATAGTTCTCTGTTATAACCAAGAACTGTCATTGGAGATCGTTAAAGAAGCCAAAATTCAGTCTAAGTTTTACTTAAATAGGGTTCTGTGAGCTGATCGACACTGCAGAAGACATTCCTGAGTGCTGTGAAGAAAGACCAATTTGACTTTTTCTCTACTGCTTTACTACTCTGGGGGGGGAAAGGGGGTTCCTCTTAAAATCTCCTATAAACACTTTCAACGCTGACCTAGTATTACGTATAAACAAAATTGGAAAACTGTTAAAGCTCTTTACGAAAACAGAATGGTTTTTTTTATTATATTTTATTGATTTTTTTTTAACAGAGAGGAAGGGAGAGAGATAGAGAGTTAGAAACTTTAATGAGAGAGACACTGATTCAGTTGCCTCCTGCACGCCCCCTACTGGGAATGTGCCTGCAAGCAAGGCACATGCCCTTGATCAGAATCGAACCTGGGAACTCTCAGTCTACAGGCTGGCGCTCTATCCACTGAGCCAAACTGGTTAGGGCTAGAAACCGAAATCTTAGTACTTCCTGATCTTCTATTTCATCATTTCTCTCACTAACCCTTCCTGCTGAATCAAGAGAACAGTTGAACAAAGGAATTTCTTACTGAATACGTTTCTAAGATGAAATATCACTATGAACATATTTTCACCACCTTCACTTTAAGTACATTTGAGGTAAGTTATTTTTCATGACTGTGATATCTTATTTTATTATACCTTCTTTACATTATTTAGATATGCAATTTTGGAAAGCAACATAACTTAGGAGGATTCTTTTTCTTTCTCCTTTTGGTGGTTTTTGATAATGACAATCATTATTTACATATGGGAAATACAAAACTTTGGCAACTGGTATTTGCAAGCTTTCAGCATTTAGCTGCAGTCTACCTAGAAGGAAACATTGTAGGAATATAAAAGTTTAATTTATTACCCAGGCCAGGCAGTAGGCATACCATTACGACTGCCAGCAAAAAAAAATTACAGATAGCATTTGAGCAGGTTCTAGTGCCAGGAATTTGATCTGATCCTATGAAGTAGGTGCTTTATTTTAACAATGAGGACACTAAGGCTTTAAAGAGGCTAACTAATTTATTTAAATCAATAGCTAACTAGAGGCAGAGCCGGAATTCAAACACAGGTTTGAGTGGCTGCGAAGTCAGAAAGTCTGAGTTGGAATTTCATCTCCTCTCCAGAGAATATAAAATGTCTGAAAGAATGTTAATATTATAAAAGAACAATGTTTGCTATCTCTAGGTAGTAGGTCTCAGATGATTTTTTTCCACCTTCCTTTTTGTTTTTATGTAGTATTTGAATTCCTTACAGTGAGAAAGGATGTATTATTTTCTAAAGAAAATTGAGCTCCGGAGGAAAACACCGAAACAAGCAAGTATAAAAAAACCAATAGACTCTATAACTTGAGAGTTGACCCTCAAAATAGTGTCCCCATGTTCAAGTGGGAGAAGAGGGCACTAAAGATAAGAGGAAGAACAGAATGGTGTGGAGGGAAGTATTTCTAGACAGACCATCCAGAAGCCACCAGGTAGGTCTCCTCCCCACCACCTTTCTCTTAAAGCGCAATTCACCTAGATGTTTACATGTTTTGATTTTTAATTGACTAGATGTTTGTATCTATGACCCAGAGACCCTCTATATGAATTTTCCTTGAGAAAAAACAATGTGCAAGAACTCATCCATGGCAGCATTACCGGCAATAGAGAAAAAAAAGCTAGGAACAACCTGTGAGTCCAAAGTTAAGGCCTATCCATAAATTATAAAGACCGATAAAAGCATGGATAGCTGAAACCGGTTTGGCTCAGTGGATAGAGCGTCGCCCTACAGACTGAAGAGTCCCAGGTTCGATTCCCAGGTCAAGGGCACATACCTTAGTTGTGGGCACATTCCCGGTGGAGGGGGTGCAGGAGGCAGCTGGTCCATGTTTCTCTCTCATTGATGTTTCTAACTCTCTATCTCTCTCCCTTCCTCTCTGTAAAAAAAAAAAATATATATATATATATATATATATATTTTTTTTTTTTTAAACATGGATAATGTTTATTATGTGGGAAATAGAAAAATAAAGGCTACACCATCACAATGTTTCTTTTATTTTCTAATTACCTTTTTGCTATTATAATTTGCTCTTTTTTAAAAGTCAAAAGTTACTTAAAATCTCTCCTTCAAAATAGTAGCTTCATAATTATGTTCCTAGAAATAATAAGGTTCAAACACATGGTGCTATAAGTCAGACCTAACAGTCTCCCAGTTGGAAGAGGGAAACAGGAAGCCCAAACACCCTCACCAGAGGATGCTGACACGATGATGTAATTGAACCTGGGAAGTGGTCCCCTCAGAGGGAAAGCAAGGTGGGTGGTATGATGAACTGAGAAGTTGCAACTCTACTGAGGCTGTAAAAAAGTACATATTAAATGCCTTCCAATTTCTTAGGACATATGTCTAGAAGTACAATGCAGAAGGCTTTTATAGGTGAAACCTCACGTTTGCATAGGCAGTTAGACATGCAATTTTTAAAAGGGCCACCACACCTGGAATCGGGTATTTACATTCCACCACAGTGAGGCACCCTCCTTACGCTGTAACCATGCTGCTCTCGAAAGGCGGGGCACAAGAGCACCCACTTAAACAATATCCACGGAATTCTGGAAAAATTATTTTACAGACTGTAATCTAAAATCCTCTTATAGTTTATTGCTGGATGAAAAGAATACAGACTAAGCTAAAACACATATGCATAAAAGCACAAGGGCTGAATATTTTAGGTTAGGGAGAGACTTCTAGCTGTTCGAGGTAGAAAAGGCAGACAAATGCAGCCTTTAAAGATATTAAAAAAACACAAAAGTCTGTGAATATCATGGGTTTCCTTTTTAACATCATTCCCACTTCTAAATGAAATATGCTTTCAGTGGCCAGGTACCTAATCTCTCAAGACAGACAAGGTAACAGTGACTAAATATAACAATGAATCTATGAGAGATTCCACCCCCACCCCGCCTACTTCTGACAACTTTAAAATATAGCTTTTATAGGCTGTTCACTACTCTCTTTTCACTGGAAATTGAGGACCGCAGCAGAAAATCATGAGTGTGACAAGAAAAGGGTGAGATGGATGCCTGGTGTGGCTGGAGAAAATGGCTATCGGGCGTTCACAGTCATTCATCCCCCCTCTAAGAGCCTGCGGAGAACCAGAGGCCATCAAGTTCCTCACCCTCCAGGGGACAGGAGGGTTTGGAGAAGGTGGGCATCCCTGCGGCTAACTCTCTGCAGTGTTCCGATCCTTAGGCTCTGAACCCAAGCGCTGTGGATATTTCAACGGAAAATTTCCATCACAGTGTTTAAAAATACCTCGGGGCCCCTAAAAATTCCTATACCCCATAAAAAGAACTAGCGGCAATTAGAAGGGTAACATCAGCCTCTATCCTGAATTTACATGGGTTGTAAAAGTAGGAAATCCGAATAGTGCTGACGCTGGGACTTTCTGCCTTATATTTAAGCCAAAACGTTTACACATTTTAAGACATTTTCCTTAATGTTTTGGCCGGAGAGAATGCAAACGGGTCGCTGGCTGCTCTTAAGTCTGCGTAGTGTTACCTCCCTACACTAGGAAATTGGTTATATTTTAATAAAACGAAACCCTTCTGTGTGAAGTTTTCTGAAGTAGTCTTTGGAGACTGGTTTAATAAATCTATTTCCTCGCAGCATACTTGGACGTAAATGAATTATCCAGGTTCGGCTGTGGATTCCAAATGCAAAGCCCAGAAAATGTGGCTTCTGGTCTCATGCTATAACTGCAACCTCAGCTGCCCAGCACATGCTTCTGCCAGGCATTCTGATTCAAGCCATCAACTTTGAAAATCATAGGTAACTGAACCCAGGTTTAAAAAAAAAAAAAAAAAATCAACTTTAGATACATTCCACAATGCTTTACAGAAGCAAACAAAAACAAACAAACAAAACAAAACAAAAATCACAATGATTAAAAAGCTGATTTTTTTTGTTTTAAAACACCAAGCAAGGAATGGACATATGAATATTCCTAACCTGCAAAATGATTCCTCCACATTATATCAGCGAAACTCATTGGTGGGCCACTGGGAGGGTAGTGTTTACCTTTCAGAGGCTCATGATCAGTCCTTATCATATCCATTAAGGAGTTCTCCAACGAGTGCAAGTTAAAAGTGTCATAGGGCCTACTCCGGTCCTAAAAATAAAAACACAGAACAATAAGACAACACATAAAATGATTTCCTAAAAATCAATACCGTATCATTTGCTTCTTGCCGTGTACTGGGGACATGAATCAAAGTTCCAGATAATTCTAATAATAAACACACAGTCATTCTTTTCAAGAAGAATAATGACTTGTTTCAGAAGGACACTAAACTTGCATTAATGCTGAAATTTAAAAAAAAAAAAAAAAGAATAACGTGGCAACATTATGTTTAATACAAGTTTCCACAATGAATTAAATTATACCCTTTCCCCCTTAATAGTCTTTTATGTACATGTCCCACTACTTCAGGCTGACTTCTTCTCAAGTAAACTAAAAAAGTAAATTCAAAAGTTAAGAGTCATGAGAATTGGCTCTGCCCTCGGCCCTTCACCCCCTGCATCCACTGTCAAGTGAAGATTCTACTCAAATGAACAGAGGTGCTGTTTTGTCTGGAGGAAGACCATAATTAAAAACTCTCAGTATAACATTACTTTCCTGAAAAGCATAAAATTACTTTCTACAAAAAGGGATTGTAGTTTCAATGTAATTCTATTGCATATCTTTCATATTTATTAGTGATAAGGTCCATACTGATAAGATCCATACATTAGGTATATGTTATAAAAATTGCAGCATGTCCAAAGTACTAAAATTACCTTTTGAAAAGCATTCACGTGAAAAATGCTTAACCCAAGGTAGTGTTTTCCCGTTAGATTCAAAAATATTTTGAAAATAGAAAGCTAATGCAAACTAAGAAAAATAATTGTTCTACCACATTTCACTCATGCCCATGGGAGGCCATCACCTACAAATTATTGTTAGTAGTCTGGGTCTAAAAGAAGTGCAGTCCATGGCCTAATTTATTACTAGAGAACAATTTAGTTGGCTTTTGTGTAAGGAAAGCAAGACAGCCTGGCTGGTATGGCTCAGGGTTGAGCACAGACCTTTGATCCAGGAGGTCACAGTTCAATTCCCAGTCAGGGCACATACCTGGGCTGCAGACCCAATCCCCAGTGTGGGGTGTGCCTGAGGCAGCTGATCCATGATTCTCTGTCATCATTAATGTCTATGTCTCTCTCTCCCTCTCTGAAGTCAATTTTTTAAAAAAAATATATATATATATTATTGATTTTTCACAGAGAGGAAGAGAGAGGGATAGAGAGTTAGAAACATCGATGAGAGAGAGTCATCGACCAGCTGCCTCTTGCACACCCCCTACTGGGGATGTGCCCGCAACCAAGGTACATGCCCTTGACCGGAATCGAACCTGGGACCTTTCAGTCCGCAGCCCAACGCTCTACCACTGAGCCAAATCGGTGCCGGCTCTGAAGTCAATTTTTTAAAAAAAGCAAGATAGCCTTAGCTGGTTTGGCGCAGTGAATAAAGTGTCGACCTGCGGACTGAAGGGTCCCAGGTTCGATTCCAGCCAACGGCACATGCCTGGTTTTCGAGCTCAATCCCTGGTGGGGGGTATGCAGGAGGTAGCCTATCGATGATTCTCTCTCATCATTGATGTTTCTCTCCCTTTCCCTTCCTCTCTGAAATCAATAAAAATATATTAAAAAATTAAAAAAAGAAAAGCAAGATAAACATACACCTCGAAAACCATACAAAACAAACCATAGCAATGAGAGATTCTTCTAAGGATCTTGGCCAGTTTATCCAGCCTTGCCAATGATCACTTATCCTCTCCTCTGAATAACAGAATGACATGATGAGTATGCTATCAATGATAGGTAAAAACCTCAGCTACAATGACCATTTTCCAGGTTTGTGTTAAACCAGTGGTCGGCAAACTCATTAGTCAACAGAGCGGCAAACCACGGCTCACGAGTCACACATGTGGCTCGCGAACCGCAGTTTGCCGACCACTGTCTTCAACTATTGGAAAGCTGTTTTCTTCTGGTCTCTGGTGCACAGCCTCACTGTATCCCTATCCAGGGAAGCAAAAAGGGAGGTGACATTAGAACTCGGAGGATTATTGGGTAAATGAATGCAGCACGAATCCTAGGAAGAGCCCTGAACTGAGAACCAGAAGACCAGAGTGCTACAACAACCCTAAACACTTGGGGCATTGGGGAACTTTACGACCCACCTCTCCAGTCTGTGCCTGAAATTCCTCCCTTTATGCAAATGAGAGGATAGAGCTACATTATTTCTAACATCTCTGCAACCCTATCCTTTAAAAAAAAAAAACAACTCATAGAAGAGGAGTTGGGGGTGGGTGAGAAAGAGACATAAATATTAATGATGACAGAGAATCATGGATCAGCTGCCTCAGGCACGCCCCACACTGGGGATTGGGTCTGACTGGGAATTGAACTGTGACCTTCTGGATCATAGGTCTACGTCAACCCTTTACAAACAAACCTTTACAAACAAAACTTTACAAACCTTTTATGCGCAAGTTGAGGGCTGCTACCCTACTAGGCCCTGGTAGTTCAGAAATAAATGCCGTAGCCTAGTCCCTATTTGCAAGTAACTAGCAGAGAGGGACATGACCAATTAAAATTAGAGTACGGCAGGTATTCTGACAGAGGAACGTATGTAGTACAATGGAAACTAAGTCATATCTGTCTCTTAAAGAGCACATATTTGTGTATGTGTGTATCATAATTATTTTTTATTTTTATTTTATTTTATTTTATTTTTTTAATATATTTTATTGATTTTTTACAGAGAGGAAGAGAGAGGGATAGAGAGTTAGAAACATCGAAGAGAGAGAACAAGGAATAGAGAGAAACTCTCTATTCCTCTCTCTTCTACTCTGTAAAAAATCAATAAAATATATTTTTAAATAAATAAATAAATAAACAAACAAATAAATAAATAAATAAAGTGAAGGGACTATAAGAAATGGCTGTTTGAAGGCAGCCAAGAATCTTTCCAGCCAGGACAGTTTCTTTTTTTCATTTAATTCTTTTTTTTTTTAATCAATATTTTATTGATTTTTTTAGAGAGGGAGAGGGATAGAGAGTTAAAAGCATCGATGAGAGACAATCATCGATCAGCTGCCTCTTTCTCACCCCCTCCTGGGGATGTGCCCACAACCAAGGTACTTGCCCTTGACCAGAATTGAACCCGGGACCTTTCAGTCCGCAGGCTGATGCTCTGTCCACTGAGCCAAACTGGTTTCGGCTTTCATTTAATTCTTGATATACTCTTTAAAGTACATAACATACTCATTTTACACAAGGGAGATGAGGTTCAAAGGTGATGCAAGTCTGGATCTGACCTCAACACCAATACCAACGAGTATAAAAATCTAAGAAATTAATCCAATCCATTTAGGATATTACATGAAAACTCTCTAGAAACACTGCACTGCATCTAATCACTGGTGAAATGATCTTCCTGTTAATGTGGTAGTGAGTTCCTGTCAGAAGCTAACATCAGATGTTAGATGACTACCTGTCAGGAAAATTGGGGGGGACATCTGAAGTGGGTCCCAAAGCAGTCAGAATATCAAAATCACATGTAAAACAGTTTAAATGTAGGTTCCTGGTCCCCAGCTAAAACCCACTTAATCATAATTAAAACGAAATGAATAAATGTCCAGGGTGATTGCATAGATTTGAGAGCCACTAGACTGGATGATTCTTCAAGTTAAGTAAGCCTTTAACACTCTGAATCTGACTGGTAAAACGGGGAAGTTAAGTAAGGGAGGGGACTTGAAGGACAGCATCAGCAAGTAAACAAGCCTGGCGACCTGGCCGAAAATCAGCTTTGCCGTCTTTCGATGGATTGTGAATTAGAGAAACAAGTGGAGGGTTGGTTTTTTAAAAATACAAACACTGAAATCAGACAGCTGATTTTCAAGCTCTGGCTCTGCCCCGTGCTGGCATGCCACTCTGCACACATCTTTAAGGCTTGATTATCTTCTTCCATGAAACAGGGGGGATAATAATTCTCTCTTGATGGCTGTTTTCAGTGCTAAAAGACATGATGTACTGCGAAGCATCTGTGCAGCGATGGCTCCTGGGATATCAGGGAGAACTCAGAGAGACTTCCGTGATCCACGTCATGGTGCTGGGCTGCAGCTCCCAAGGCCAGAGGTTCACAGGTGCTAACCTAGCACGGTCCACTCGTGCCCCACGGCGTGACGTGTGAAATGTGTGACAGCGTGCCCAGGCTTCTTCACTGAACAAACTTCAGTGCCGAGGGGCTTACTTTCTCACTAAACTTAATTCTAGCTATGCCTCATCCGTTCCTATTTGCTGGGGCCCTTTTGTTTTACAAGTAGTAAACATTGCTGAAATAACTGATTAACCAGGAAGCCAGAAAGAAACAGAGAAAAGCCGAAACCGGTTTGGCTCAGTGGTGGAGCGTTGGCCTGTGGACTGAAAGGTCCCGGGTTCGATTCCGGTCAGGGGCATGTGCCTTGGTTGCGGGCACATCCCCAGTAGGGGGTGTGCAAGAGGCAACTGGTCGATGTTTCTCTCTCATTGACGTTTCTGGCTCTCTGGCTCTCTCCCTTCCTCTCTGTAAAAAATCAATAAAATATATATATATATATATATTTTTTTTTTTTTAAAGAAACGGAGAAAAGACAGAAACACTAAATACTCTGCAGTAAAATGCCACAGAAATGATGAGCAGAACAAAGGAACCATGATTTACCCTTCCACAACGAAGGTTACGAGTGGCAACTGATCTCCTTCATCTTTTTTCCATACGTTTTGTTTCCCAATATAGGGAAAAATAAGGACAGCGTCTCTTTCGCTTGTTTTTTAACATGCACACGCGTCGGGAAGTATTAGAGCATTTGTAAATAATGCATCCCATTATTGACTCTTTTCCTCTGACTGTAACCATTGACAGATGTTATCAGTCACTCGTACGTGGAGGCAGTCCACCCCGCTCTACAGCTCATTAGCCCTGCTCTCCTTCTTCCCCCAGCTTGACTTAATATATTAATAAATTATTCAAGTACTTAGTGTGTGCCTGGCACTGTTCTCAGTGTGCTAAATGCATTCCCTTACAACTCT